TTTATTCCAGGTTCTCTCTTGCTCTTCCCGTGTTTTGACATGCACTTTGTCCCTTTGCCCCTGGCACAGTTCTTACTTTTTTTCTTTCATTCAGGAGGAGCACAGTATGATCAAAATCACATCATTCTCAACACAGTGAACACAGAGAAGCTAACCCAAGTGTGGGAAGCCATGGTCCTCTGAACCCTGACCAAGAATTGCAGGAGTGTTTCCAGGGGATTTTCTGACCACCTGACTGGAGAAAAATAAAACTACAGAGCTGATGGAGGAGCCAAGTGGAAAGTGGACTGAAGGCCATAACAGTGAAATGATCTTTACAAAGATGTTTGAGTTTGGAGCCACTAGTCTGTTCTTCTTGTTTCTTACCTTGTATTTTCTCAGTAACTTCTTAAACAGGCTGCCCTGGTAGCAGCTCTTGGATGTAGATGTTTTAAAGATGAAGACCACATCGTAACTTATTTCCAGTGACAAGAGGAGACAAGACCTCTGAGTGTGGACATATAGATTCCCGTAGAGGAAAGGATAAAAGCCCAAGTTTGTTCATCAAAAGACTTTTAGCATTAGAGGATGCTTTGCCAGACTTCTGATCCACTGCCTTAACGTTTTTCCAGGACCATCTACTGCTGGATGGCAGAGTGGGAAAGTCCTATACACTCAGATATGTTCCAAGGAGTTTAGCAAATATAAACAAAACACTATTTTCAGTTGATGTTCAAAATGATGTTCAAAATTTGCAAATTTTCATGTTGGTGTCTGCTTACAAGCAGAACTTGGGTTATTTTAATTCTCCTGTGGGCTGCCCTCGAGTGTCACAGTTTAATGCCCTCCTTACAGCTGCTATTGGGACAGTATTATGGCCTAATTTATTAACCCTTACTTTGTCACCTGCCTATAATATGGAAGCCGTATCTATACAGACCTCTCAGCCTGGTCTCTCCAGGGCCTCCAGCAGGAGGACTGCTTCAGATCTGCCTACATCAGGAGCCTCCATTATGGTAGCAGATATGCAAAGCTCCAGGAGAGGGTTAACAGTCACTTCTAGTGAGTGTGAAGGAGATCCCAGGGGCTCTGTGCAGTGTTTGTGCAGAGACCCAGAGCTCCACAGGAAGTTTGGGAACAACAGCTATGATACACTGCTCCAGACTCTGCTGCTCAAACAGCACATTGTCCTTTTGAGCAAAACTGCCTGACATTTCCTTGGACACATCTTCCCCATTTTGTCCTCACTGCAATATTGGTGCTCTTGTCAGAGGCTCAACAAGGCCACTTCTGTTTCACCTGCTCAAACCTGTTTCCTCTCTGGATCCAACGGCAGGCAAGTGTGCTCATCCGAATAGTTTATCTGCAGCTTAAACAACGTATGCACAAACAGCAGCAGCCAGCACGTCTGTCTTCTCGTATGTACATCTCTGATTGTAGGCTTTGTGTATGTCACTATAGTACAGTGGGGTAACCTGTCTGGTTTTATCTCTTGAATAAACTTATTCCTCATTAACCACGTGATGAGATCCTGGAATCAATTTAGCAGTCCTCTGAGACAGTCGAGTTTCAGAGGGCAGGCTGGGGCACAGCAGGCTAACTGCAGGCCCTTTTTAACCACTTTTTGAGTATTTTTAAGGTGCTCACCTGTGCACTCAGGGACTTAATCCACTGCTACCTGGTAGCTCTCAGGAACTAGAGCTGAGAACTTCTAGATAGATAAAAGTCGTGACATTGGCATTTACAAATTATATCTATTGAAATAGTTCTCTGTGTAGCTCTATCCTGTAACTCACCATGTAGAGACTAGGCTGGCCTCAAACTCATAGAGATCTGCCTGCCTCTGCCTCCCAAGTGCTGAGATTAAAAGGCGTGTACCATGGAGAGATGGCTCAGCAGTTAAGAATGTTTGATACTTTTGCAGAGGACCCAGGTTCCGTTTCCAGCACCCACATAGCTGTGCATACTGTCTGTAACTCCAGATATAAGGCCCATCTGGCCTCTGCAGGCACTGCATGCATATAATACACTTACATACATGCAAGCAAAACACTTATACATGTAAAATAAGTACTGTGCTGAGGAAATTCTAGAGTGACTTTAGAGGAAACCCCCCATCCAACCAACATAACACTAAACAGGTATCTAACAGGAATACATGGAGTGGAGAGTTTCTCCAAACAGATCTATGTACGTGAAAGGCTAGAAGCAAGTATCTAAGATGCAGTAATGAAGATGAGTATTAAAACAGCAACAAATATCTTGAACAAGAGTCAAGATTGACAGGCATATGAGGTCAGAAAAGACTAGACAGTAGCAATGTCCATGGAAAAGCTGTCAGAGAGGCGTTAACTCAGTTGCTGAAAGAAACCCAGCCTATGTGCAATATGTTAGCCAGGTGTGGTAGCATATACTCATAATCCCAGCACTTTAGGGTTGGAGGCTGGAGGGTTAGGAGTTCAAGGCCAGCTTGTGCTACATGAGATCCTGGTCTCAAAATGAAACTTTTCAGTATTAAAAGGCATTTTTATAGATATACACCTAAGCAATTCCACATTGAAGGATGTGCGAAGGACAGGGAGTGACCAATAGAAACACAAGGGAGCCCAGCTTTCCATTACAGTGACAAAACATCTAGGATAATGTCTAAGGAGGAAGGGTTTGCTTGGTTCACAGTGGACGGTTTCATCTGACATTAGTTCAGCTGCTTCTGAGACCACAGGGAGGCAGCACAGAATGGTGGGCATCTGTGTTAAAACACCGACGAGAAACAACGTGGGGAGGAAAAGCTTTATCTCACCTTGCAGATTACAGTCTGGCATGGAGGAAAGTCAAGGCAGGAAGCTGGAGGTGGAACTGAAGCAGGCCTGTGGAAGGGTGCTCCTCCTTGCTTGCTCAGTTTGCTTTCTTATACACCCCAGGACCACTTGCCCAGGAACAAGCCATCCACAACGGATGGTCACTTTCACTGGCTTGTCTACAGGTGATCAGGACACAGAAGCAGGAAAGAACTGGGCCCCGATGTCTCCTCCAACAGTGTCTCCCCACTTCCTCCCACAAGGTCCTAACTCCTACAGGTTCCATCACCTCCCAGTATTGCCCAGTGTGTGTTGCACACATGGGTCTTTGGGAAATGTTTCCAACCCAACCTATAGCAGCCAGTTAGGAAAATAATCACTGATGAATTTCAGAAAGAAATGAAGCTCACGCTGACATCCATCTATACACCACACATTTTAGAATCTCACAGACATTAAGATGATGGGGTTTGATGTTGCAAGAAGGCCACAGGAATTTGCAAAGCTGGGTGAAAGAGTAGCTTAAGAAAACAAAAATACCACATAGAGGCTGGAGAGATGGTTCAGTGATTAAGAGCACTGGCTGTTCTGCCAGAGGACTTGGGTTCGATTGCCAGCACCTCCATGGCAACTAACAACTACCTGTTAATTCCAGTTCCAGAGTATTACACGCCCATTCTGGCATCCTCAGGTACAAGGCATACCATGTGGTAAACATACTTGCAGCCAAAATACCCATACACATGACATAAAATAAAAATAAATTAAAACAAACTATGTACTTTCACTGACTGCAGGCAAGTGTAGGAGCTGACAGTTTTGTATCAAGCATTGGCAAATGATTAGCAAAAAAGGCTGTTTTAATGACACCTGCATAGAAATTCCATGAAGAAATTATTCCGTATGTTAACTTAAGTAATTTTAAAGTTTTTTTTTTTTAGAGATAATGATTCTTTGTGTAGTTCTGGCTGTCCTGGAAGTTGTTCTGTAGACCAGACTGGTCTTGAACTGACAGAGATCCAAGGGCCTCTGCCTCCTAAGTCCCACTGCCTGGATATTTAAAGTATTTTTTAAAAAATACAGATTTTTAAAGTGTTTTTTATTGAGCCAGTAAGATGATGCCATAGGGAAAGGCACCTGCCACCAAGCCTAAGGCCTTGAGTTCTATACCCAGAACTTACATGGTAGAAAGAACCAAGAACTGAACGGTTCCCTGTGATCTCCAAAGCACACATTCTGTGGGACAATGATCTTGTACGCTGGAAAGATTTGTCACGAATATTGGTTTAATAAAATACTGACTGGTCAGTAGCCAGGCAGGAAGTATAGATGGGGTGACCAGACTAGGAGAACTCTGGGAGGAGGAAAGGCAGGGGAAGCAAGATGACAATTCCATACTGAGAAAAGAAACCAAGCCACGTGGCTAAATACAGAAAAGAATTATGGGTTAATTTAAGATGTAAGAGTTTGCTAGTAATAAGCCTGAGCAACAAGCCAAACAGTTTATAATTAATATAAGCCTCGGAGTGTTTAATTTGGGACTAAAGGGCTGTGGGACCGGATGGGACAGAAACTTCCATCCACATGCACCCTGGTACACATACACAACATTAAAAAATTATTTATTTTCTGTATCATTGTGGAGGTATGTTCTGTGCAGTCAGCTCTCCCCCGCCCACCTCTTTATGTGGGTTCCAGGGATGGAACTCAGGTAGCCATGCTTGCACTTCCAGCATCTTTATCTGCTGAGCCGTCTCACCAGTCCACATCTAGGTTTATAAACACATCATGAAATTTTGAATCTAACTTGGAAAAATATCTAGAGGGCTAGATGTCTGGATCACAGGCACTCAGCAAGAGGAAAGCAGCTGGCACGCACATATTCATTTAAATGACTTTAACCACAGTCTTCCCTCGGGCGTGGCCTCTTTCCACCTTCAGGAAGGCTTCTGGGACTTCAGAAAAGGGAAAGGTTTGTTCAATAACTGGCCGAATCTACAAAACACAAGAAGAGACCAACAGGTCAATAAGAAAACCTATACTTTCCGAGGCAGATAGCATCTGTAGATATCCCTCAAGGCCTGTCCCAGGGGGCTCTCTGCCATGTGCTTAGGTCAGAGGCTCCAGCTGCCCCTACCCTTCCTCATTCCATCTTACCCCTCTAATTTTGCCCTCAAGTTCCTCTTTACTCCATCTTACCCCCATTCCCAGTAAAAATGTCACTCCTACTCAGTCCTGCAAGAGCTCCCAAACTTGACATTCCAAGACACACTACATCGTAGCTTCAACTCTCATGCTGCTTGTCATTTTTTGAGAATTCTATTTTATGTGTATGTGTTTCTGTGTGTCTGGTGTAGGTGTGATATGATATATATGGTTGTGTATGTGTGTGAGTGTGATAGACATGGTTATATGTGTCTGGTGTGGAATGCAGTACGGTGTGTGTGGCTGTGTGTGTAAGTGAGTAGTGTGAATGTAGACACACATGTGCTGTCTGGTGCATGTAGAAATCAGAGGACAAGTTTTGGGAGTCCGTTCTTTCCTTCTGTCCCTTCTACCCTGGTTCTGGCCATCAAAGTTGGCTTTGGATTTGCCTGGCAAGTGCTATGTACTGAGCCATCCCACTGGCCCTACCTGTCATTTTCTAGCATCACATGCTGTCATCTCTGTTAGCCTTACATCTGCATCCCTGCATCCCTGGCCTCCCAACCTTTCTGTCCCCACATGCAGTGTGCTCTGAGCTGCTCAAGGAACCATGAGCTCTCCTCACAGCTGCCCTTACCACAGGAAGCAGCACAGAGTGGCAAAGTAGCAAGGCCCTTGCTGCACACAGAAGCGCGCACACACACAGTTTACTTGTTTTCTAGTCTGAAACACCAGCATGTATATATATAATCAGAGCAGAAATTATCTGTGTATAGGCCATCTTTATATAATACCAACATGAATGGGTCCTTAACTAAAGCACTAAGATGAAAAGCCCAAAGTAGGAAGCAGGAGTCCTGTGTGAGCTCTCTGGGCCTTGAAGTTCCGCAGAAAAGCACCACAATGCTTACAACATACAGGATGAGGAACCTCCAGCTCAGGCAGCTCACTGGTGTGTGGGTATTGCTGGCTCCTTTACAGCGCAGCTCAGCAGTACTGACAGAAAGCTCCTGAAAGCAGGCAACACCCTCTCTCCATGCACAAGTCCACCTGAACTCTTCCTTTCAAATGTCTAAGTGGAAACAGCCGGTGTGCAGTGGACACCACTGGATTGCTTCTCACAGACCCACTGACAAGTGCCAGCTGCCACAAGGGACATGCTGACTCACAGCCCGAGTGACCCTTTTCCTTTGACAAGAGGAAGGCATGTTTTCTGACATTCAGATGCCTCTGATGCCATTTCCTCTGATGTGACTTTCCACACTGCTCAGGCACCACATGCTCCCCCTCCTCAGAGGTGAAGATTCTCCGGCATCCACAAATCACAGCAAGCTCAGACACCCAGGAAGAGCAGGAAGTGCTCTCACTGTAGGAAGACTCCCCATGTTAAATACCTTCAGGATACAGGTCACTCCCATCTTATAAAACTTTGGGGCACTGGGATGAGTTAATGTGCCTGAGTGTCACATCATTGCTGAAAGGCATGGCAGGACTCAATTGATGTCACTGTCACTGATCTCACCACTGCACAGAGCCATCATTATCTTCTGCTACTTTTCATCCCCACCCAGGGAGGAAGGGAACGTGATCACAATGAGTTATCACAACCTGAACCTTGGCCTGCCTTCCATGCGTCAGCTGAGGATCTGGTGTCTAAACCCTGCATCCAGCCCCAGGGATGTGGTACATTGTCTATGGAGGGTGTCACTGATTGACAGTCCCAGCACACTGAGTAGAACCTCAGACCCTTCCACACACTGCAGGGACACTTTAAGAGCTGACCTGAGCTGCCTTCATCTGGTAAGAGAAAGAAGGCACTTGGGCTGCTTCAAGTTCATGAAACCCAGATCCATCACTCTGCTCAGAGCTCCAGGACACTGTTTACTGAATGCCATCTAACTGGTAAATGAAAGACTGTTTACTGAATGCCATCTAACTGGTAAATGAATGACCCACACGTACACTCCAAATATGTTCTCCAGTGCTTCTTGGGACAGTGGAGTCAGAGAACAGAACAGTTCTGAGTGAGGTCCAGAGAGGTGTGTGCATGCTTCTGTGGACTCCCTGTGCCTTTGTGTTTACCTACACATACACACACTGCCATCCACGTATTCCTTCGTTCTACCATGCTCACTACACCTCTCCCTGTCAAGCACTAGCCTAGCACAGGTACACACAACAGACTCCACTCCAGAAGCCAAAGCAGAAGCCATCATGCCAGGCTCACTTTGGAGCTCTCTGCTAGAGCACAGAAGCTGACCTGCTGACTGGGCCACTGCAGTGGCTGCACAGTTTAATCTGACTGGGCAGGCCCTTTTGTGACAAAGAGCTCAAGAGGGCTGACCATGGCATAATGAGTCATTCAGCAATTCCTGTAACTGACAATGAAAATAAAAAGGGGGGGGGGCTTTCAAATCACAGTCAGGCAAATGCCACCGCTGGCTGAATACGTGACAGTACAGGGAGATTAACTGGATAATGGGACAGTGTCTATGCACAGCCTCACATTGGACCTAGAATGCTTGTTTGTTAAAGAGAAGCGGATCAGAGTTAAACTCCAGAGAGGGGAAAGAGGTTACTCACAGTGAAGGGGGACATTTATGTGATGACACTGCTCTAGTCCATTTGGCATGGGGAGCCCTGGTATAAAGCATGCAGGCGCAAAGCCACATTTCCTGCTGCACAGACACCAGGGCTCACAGGTGGTTGACTAGGAAACACCTACAGCAGCAGCCCTTATTCAGTGTGAGAGGCAAGTGTGGGGTCTCCTGAGTGTACCTCGCCTTCCTTAACAGGACTGGCATCTAGCACTTGCTGCCTGGCATCCCTTCTTTAACACAGGGACAACAGGAACATCACCCTTCCTAAGTATGACTGACCTTACAACAGCACTGCTGTTTACCACTTGGGCAAGCCTTTGGAGGATAGGAAAGAGCTAAAAGTGATGAGTGTCTGAGCTAACCTCAACAGAACAGGAAGCTGAGACACAGCAGTTGAGTGGCCCATGCAAAGCCAAAGCCCTCAGGAGCACAGCCAAGTGAGGACCTGGGACCCTTGACTATCCTGCCAAATGGGATGAAGGTGGTTTTGAGTCTGTCTGTCTGTGCTCCTCACCCTCATCTTCCACAGGCTCATCCCCCAGACATAGAAGCTGCAGATTTCAGAAGGTGAGATACATGAGGATGGACCAACAGATGCAGATACCAAGGAAGACTCAAGAGCTCCTGGTAGAAGTCCAATCCACACCCCTGTTAATGGGTACCAGGCCACAGTCCCAGAGTCATCTCTGGGAGTTATGTCCCAGTTTCTGTTAGGCCTGTCAATGGAAGGAAGGAATGTAACTCCAAATCCTTCAGAGCTAAGAGACAGCAGAGGAAGGGGTGAGTTTTGTTCTAGTTGCTATTTTCTGGGCACTTCATGTGCCCAGAAAGTTACATTAAAGCTGGAAGATGGCTGTGGGACTGGAGGGAGATGGTGGCTGAAGGTGTTCTCTGAGAAAGTAAATGCATCCATCAGGAGAGATTCCAGGAAGCACTCCTTTCCAGCCAGGGAGGAGGAACTTGGTACCATTCACATGGGAACAACCTCAAGGACTTAGAAGAAAAAATCAGAAAAGCCAGGCATGATGGTCACACATGTGACCCTAGAGCCAGGGGCTAGATAGTGCTTTGGAAGCACTATGAATTCAGGGACTGCCTGAACTACATGGTGAGACCTACAACCTTGTTTTAAAATGAAACAAAAAGGGAAAGGGGAAAATGTGAAAGGAATTCAGAAGCATCAAGGCTACAAGATGAGATGCTGGAATACCAGGCAGGTGGACCCTCTTCTAGTGGTCTCATGATCCAACCTCAAACCGCCATGGTCTTCCTATGGAGCAGGATCCCGCTGCCCTATGAAGCTTGCAGCTTGGCCATCCCAGAGGGGCTGGGAATCATCCACCTCAGAACCCAATGCATTCCCTTCCAAAGCTGTATGTCTAAACCTGTGACTAGTTAATATTTCATCAAGTGAGTAACCAAAATGGAAAGTCGGTTCCTCAGTTGCATTAGCCACTTTTCTAATGCTCAACCATCACAAACAGTTTGTGACTGCCGCTGACCACCTGGACAGGCATTTCCTGCACTACAGAAAGCTCTAGTGGACAATGCTGATGAGGAGGTAACTATTCACAGCAGACACATGAAACGGAGCACTAGGGAGTCCTCAGTGGGTGTTGCAGACTGAACTCCAGTTCATAGGTGCTCTGCTGTTGGCGGTGAAGATAAAGAAATAAGAAGCTCTGAGAAGACTACATCACTCCCAACCAAGCTTGAATGGTCAACTAGAATTCAGAAGAGACCCGTGAGCATTAAGTACATGACATCAAAGGGCTTTAAAAACTTCACGAAGAAGCCAGGCAGGCGGTGTGCACCTTTAATCCTAACACTCAGGTGGCTGAATCTCTGTGAATTTGATGCCAGCCAGATCTACATAGTGAGTTCCGGGGAAGCCAGGACTACATTGAGAGACCCTATCTCAAAAACCAAAACACAAACAAAATATTGTGGGAAGAATATATTTGTATTTACATTCCAATTTACAAGTTTTTTATTAAAGCATTTATAAAATAAAAAAAGAATATATTTGTGCAAATAAGGATATGCAAAATGGTTAAAAAGGGGCCGGGTATGGTGTAGGCCTTTAATCCCTGTGAATTTGACACTAATTAGCCTACATAGAGTTCTAGGTCAGTCAGGGCCACATATCATGACCTACATATCGTCTCAATCAATGAATAGGCATGGGTGGCACATGCATGTTAGCCCAGCCATTTACGGGGCTGAAGAAAGAGGATCACTTGAGCCTAG